ATGTGGTGCTGGGGATCGAACCGCGGTCCCTGTGCTTTGCCAAGCTTGTTCCAAGTAGGTGCTTTAGACCACTGAGCCATCTCTCCAGCCCCAAGTGTCATTATTTATAGCATAAATAGCAGTTTAAGTATAAAACATAACATAAATAGAATAACATATATAGCAGGTAAATACAAAATTGATCTAAAATTTTGATCAAGTAATTCTAAATGGGACTTAGCTCTGGGAATAGTTAGATATTTTAAATTAAGATTTTTAGGTAACATATGTCAATTTATTTTTAAAGTAAATCTTACCTATATATTTGGTTTTATTTTAGAGCTGTGGAAAAAGTATTTCCCAATAAGAGAAGCTTTATTCTTACTCGATCAACTTTTGCTGGAAGTGGCAGGCATGCTGCCCACTGGTTGGGAGACAACACTGCCTCCTGGGAGCAAATGGAGTGGTCCATCACTGGCATGCTGGAGTTTGGCTTGTTTGGAAATCCTTTGGTAAGGCAGTCTAGTGCATATAAACAACCAAGTCTTTTTTTTTTTTTTTTCCTTTCTTTTGAATGCTGAACTTCTAAGTCAGCAGCCTTGGTAGCAGGCCTTCTGATCCCGGCTGCAGGCTCCACTCTAGCACATAATGTTCAATGTCCCATTGTCTTTTTATGGCCTGTTTAGTTCTGAACAGACCCAGAGCAAGAGAAGGCTTTGCAGCAGGTCCAGGCTGCTGTTTAGGTTCTACCTTGCGGGTCACATGATCCAGGAGATCCAGTGCTACTTGAAGGGTCTGTGGCAGATAGGAAGTCTAAGAAATGTGCCAAATGACAGTAAATGGAAGCACGTAAAATCATGTGGTTAGAGGCAAGGATGGGTAAGAGTGGGAAAAAAGAGGTATTAAATTACAAAGTACAAGAGAAAAATAAAGAGGTTATAAATAATGCTAATTAGTTGTGGGATGAAATTTGAGAATGTTAACTGTATAGATGATAAAATATCTGTTATTTAGGTTGGGGCAGATATCTGTGGATTTGTGGCTAACACTACAGAAGAGCTTTGCAGAAGATGGATGCAACTGGGAGCATTTTATCCATTTTCTAGGAATCATAATGCTGATGGATATGAGGTTAGTGACCCTTGTTCTCCAGGTTTGTAAAAAAACTATATTTGAATAATGTAATTAAATTTACACCTATAAAATATATTATCTGGAACATTACAGCATAATTTATAAATATTTGAAAGTCCCATTCGCAAGGCCTAAACTTATTTTTGAATATAAAAAGGGACAATACTATATTTAAATCTAAAACGTATACAAATTTGTCCAATTACTACTATTTTAAGTTAGAGCCAAATCTTTTGCGTAAGGATTCCTGGATTCTAACAATGTGAATTCCCATAAACTTTTAATTGATAAAAATATACTACTACATTATTTCCAGTTTTGTTTCTATTAAAAACAAAATTTCCAGTTTTTATTTCTTTTTTTAAAAATTTTATTTATTTACTTATTTATTTTTTGACTGGTTCAGCCTGCTCTGAGGGTGGAGCTGGCATGGCATATGGTGCTGGGGATCAAACCGTGGTCCCCTGCGCCTGCCTAAGCTTGCCTAAGCAGGCACTTTAGACCACTGAGGTATCTCACCAGCCCAGTTTTAATTTCTTTTAAGAAAAACACTTATAAAGCAATTTGATTCCAGAATCTTTCTATAATATACAATATTAAAATAAACATGTCAGTATAAAAAGAAACTAATACTCTCAAAACATGTGTCTAGATTGGTAGCAGCAGCAGTACAAAGAAATACAGTACAGAACTATTCAACCATCCTTGAATTCCATGTGTTGTGGGTTCTTGTAAGCTTTAGGGGACACGTCCCCAGGCACCATCACTGTCACCACTATCAATGCCATCATGATTATCATCAGCAGCAGTGGGAGGCAGATCTCTTTAAGGCAGGACTTGAGCTTGTGGTCCTCTGCCTCAGCCTCTCTAATCATCAGCATGTTTTGGGGGGAGAAATGGCAAAGCTTAACTAAACCAGTAAGTTAGTGTAGCACATCTCACTTGAGAAAGTGTTGAGTGCTCACCCACTAGTTGCTGCAAAGCCTTAGTTCTGCTTGAGAAGAAGACAACTTCTCAGTTCAGATTGCAAGGGGCCACAGTAGAACAACATTAAAGAAGCAAAACAATTGGCTGTTAGTCACTTCCTAGTCCACCCAGATGATGCTTTTTGAGCATGACCTGCTTAAGAGATCCTGATACAAATTGCATTATATATTTTCTATTTATTTCAGTTCTTAAAAAAAATCTGAAAGAACTGATCTAGTCTGTTAGAGATTTACTGATGAAATATTTGGAAAGAATAAAGAGGGAGGCACCTTGGAAAGCAGTGACAGACTTCAACCCAAAATTCTGGTCTCTGCCTTAGAAAGCTGAGAAAAAAAGGCGGTTTGGTGCTGAGATCATACAGCTGTTGTATTATTGGCTGTTTGAACAATGTGACAGATAAATTGAGAAGTTATTCCAAGACATAGTTAACCTCTGGAGACTGATGCATCCTTTGGAAAAGACTCTGCATTGTGTTGCCACCATTCTCATTTAATGGCTGGTAGACAAAGGGAAATGTGATTTTCAGTGTAAGAAGAGGTTGGATCCAAAGAGGTGGTGGATGATGTCCTCAGTAAATTTCATGACCAATCCTATTGCATCGGGTTTCTCATTGCAGTGCATGTTGGCTAAGGAAATCAATTTTTCTGGCTCCTTAGTTGAGCTACTGGGCTTAGTACGGATGCTTTATTCGGTGTTATATCTGGGGTCTGGCCAGCCAGCCCTACTTCCTGTGGGCTGGGCCCAGTCAACTAACTGGTTCTAATGGTAATGGACAGCCACAGACAGCAAATTCTCTCGGAAACACATTTTAAGCCTTTCTTTGAATGTGTCATGTGACGCAATGTTGGCACTCAGCTGAGCATAAAATCAAATAGTGGACTGGCATGCTCTACCTTTGGTTATAGGTGAAGAAAAGTGACATAACAAAGGCTTTAAGTAGAGGGAACATGAAAAAGTGGAGACTATAATTCATTCTATCCAATCTAACAGGTGAAATTTATTTTGTTAATTTGTTAAATCTTTTCTGGTTCTGTATCAAATGGCTAAGTATTTCCTTAAAATTTTATGAGAACATATGACTAAATGGAAACACAAAAACTAAAAATACTCAGGCATTCTTGAAGGAATAGGGGTAAATGTAAGTTTATAGGCAAACAGACATTTATACAATTGGCTTTCACATATTTGCTACAGGGTCTCACTGCATAGCTTGGCCTTGTAGTGATCTTCCTGTTTTCACCCTCCCCAGCTCCGGGACTACAGGCGTGCGCCACCAGGCCAGCTCTCAGTGGCTGGCTTAGCACTCCCAAGAGAGGGGCCAGTGCAGCATGTAGTGCTGGGACTCAAATCCTGGGGACTGTGCTTGCCTAATCAGGCACTCAGTCCACTGAGCTATCTCACAGGCCCTTACAATTGGCCTTTAAATCAACTGAGGAATGCACCTATGTTAGTTTTCATTCTTATTTTCACTTTCTTATTTTCACATTTCTTTTTATCCCATAGCATCAAGATCCTGCATTTTTTGGACAAGATTCACAGTTGGTTAAGTCATCAAGGCACTACTTAACTATTCGCTACACTTTACTACCTTTTCTCTACACCTTGTTTTATAAAGCTCATGTGTATGGAGAAACAGTAGCGAGGCCATTTCTTCATGAGTGAGTACTTTATTTTTATTTTTTAAAGAATACAAAATGGTAAAAAAAATAGAAGTGATATAAAATTTCATTAAATAAAGTAATAGGAATTTGCTTTTGAATGGTTGTTGTATTGCATAATATTATCTTCAAATTAGTTGTTTAGATTACCAGATATAAACCTGAAAAATTAGTTTAAATAGTTGCAAGAGGGCTAGCCAGATAGCTCAGCTGATTAAAGCGCCTGCTTAGGCAGACACAGGAGCTGGGGGTTCAATCCTCTTGCATGCCATACTGACCCCATCCCCACCCCTGGGGCATGCTGGGACAGCGATTGAGATTTGGCGTGGTGGCACACTCCTGTAATCCCAGCGCTTGGAAAGCTAGAAACAGGAGGATCACTGCGAGTCCCATCTGTGCTGTGAGACCCTGTAGACCTTGTACTAAATACATAAAAGCATTACAAGAAATTAAAAAGAAGAATAAAAGATTTTTAAAAATAGGCATTAAATATTCCTTTCAATAGACCAGCAGAAATCAGCCACAGAGTTATGCAAACTACTCTGCATGTATACATGAATGTATCTTTTTTCTTTTTTCTTCTTTTGTTCTTTTCATCATCCTCACTTTTCCCTCCCATTGAACAGATACTTTTCCAAGGAGTGTATATTTTATATAAAAATTATGTTTTAAAGTATAGTCAGACATGTATTTAGACTAATGGAGATAGATCAAAGTATAAAGGCTATCTGCGCTATATATTTTTTATATTTGAATAAATATTTTAATGAATTGTATAATGAATGTACTATATACAATTTGGGAGAAAGACAAAATTAAGATAGAAATGTGAAAATGAATAAAACTTTTAAAATTTTTCTGACATGTTATATCAATTTTTCTTATAAATTGATTACATCTAGAATTACTGAAAATTATTAAAATGATTGTAAAATCATCTATTTATAAATTGAGTGCAGCATTGTTTTAAAAAAGTGAAGTGTGCTTTATCTATTGTCAGATAGTACAGAAATTCTAGAAATTACTAAATGACAATTTCAAACCTATGTCAAAACTCAAATTGTATAATGAAAAATTTGAAAAGAAGAAAGTGAAATATGAACAATTTCTCTGCTTTATGAACAAATCGTATAGGAGAAAAGTAGGATAATTGCTACAGATGTCTTTTGGAAAAAGCTAACAAATAGCTTCTCTCTTGCATGAGCTATAAGAAAAGGCACTTATTACAAAGACAGTAGACAAGACCCAACCAGGAATTCCCTTGTGAAAGTACAGAATGGAAGAAAGAATGAGACCAAGAGGGCTGGACACCAGCTTCATGGGAGGCCCCTGCCCACTTTATTTTGGGTGTTGTGTGCATCACCAAAACTGAAATGCTTATAGCACTGTTCCTCATCATTTTCTCTATGCCAGGCATACAAAATGAATTTAGCTGTAGTGTTTAAAACTTAGTAAATATTTTCGTCTTAAAAATAAAAACAACCATGTTACCTATGCTAGATGCTTTTAAGTACAGAGCTAAAGACCTCACCTTTTCTTCCCCTTCCTCCCTGCATTCTGTCCTCCTTTACACTTTCCTTCATAAAAATGTAAGAAATACTCGTTCAAAATGATGTATTAAAGAAGTAAAATTGAAATTAATAATAATTCTTGTGGAAAACTTGAGAAGGTAAATCAAAGAATTTATGATATATTAATTTTGTGTTGTTATTTCTCATTGTTATTGTTCTTAGGTTTTATGAGGATACGAACAGCTGGATTGAGGACACTCAGTTTTTATGGGGCCCTGCTCTACTGATTACTCCAGTTCTGAAACAAGTAGGACATACAGATTTAATAATTTCATTTTTAAGGGAATCAGTGTAACTAAATTCATGCTTTAATTTTGAAGCATTGAGGTAATAATGTTGCTCAAAGGACTGTTTCAAGCTGATAAACAGCAAATTGAATTCTAAAGTGGAGAATATATATTTAAAATTAAAACAATATTAAACATATTTAAGCAAGCTAAATATATTATATGGAATAAAAGTTAAAGAAATTGAAAATATTAGTGTTTTCTGAAAAAGACTTAAATACTTAATCAAAATTAAATTTTATGGTAGTACCAAGGCAAGGATTTCTAAGTATGTAAACATAAATATTCAAATTTTGCTGAGTTTGAACTAGAAGGGAACTCAAAATCCATTAGTTGTTAGAAAATATTGAAAAAATAATAGAATAGTTATATAGTTCCTGTTTTAAAATGCCCATTTGTCATGGAAGTATATGGAAACCATCATGTGTGCAATCACAATGAGAAAGTGATTTGCAGTAGTACAGAATGTGGATTCCTTATTGGCTTTTGAGATACATACATAGATACATATGTGTGTATATGTGTAAGTATATTTTCTTATTATCAATTGGAAATACTGGATTGTAGCAACACAGATAAAGGGTTTTTCCTCCCTCTCGATAAGTATATATAGATTAATAAAAATTGAGAATAATTTTTGTGAGCAATTAATATATTTTAAAGAATAAAATATATTTATAACTTTTGAATTGCTTTGATTATAGGGAGCAGAAACAGTGAGTGCATACATCCCCGATGCTACTTGGTATGATTATGAAACTGTAAGTAGCTTTAATATATTTATGTACTTATAAAAATATTGTAGTTTTAAACATCTGTACAAAGAAATTGAATGTAAAACATACAGTATATCTGTCCTCAGGATTCTTGTATGTGTTATACAACATAATATTTCCCAGTGTGAAAACTAAAAGTTGTTGCAAATATACTAACTGCCGAATATGAACTTGACTTTAATATAAACTTACATCCTTTAATATAAAGAGACACTATTGACTTAAAATGAAGCAAAAATAGTAATTTTAGGAATGACAACTTATTTTTTTATGTTTTCCCTGTTTTACATATTTGTCTTATTGCTAGAGAAATTGAGTCAAAATTTTGGTGTTATATTTTATATTGAATATTTGTGAAAATATTTTGATTTTTAACTTTGAGAAGGTAAAATATGAACATTCACAGACAATACATTTTTTCTCAGTTGAACAATGCCTCTGGGGAAGTAGTCATTATTTCATATATTACTTATGTTTGGTAAGAAGATCCTTTATTTTTACACGATGACTTTTTTAAAAAGTAAGAAACACTGTAGCTGTTTTGTTTGTAGGCACTCTTTCTTGTATTTGCCCTTTATATGTTATTTTTTCTGTGAGGTTATGGGATTGGCAATGTGATACTTTAGCACATGCTGTGTACATCGTACACTGGTCAGATCCAAGGGACATTCTTCTCTTTATCATCATTTTCAGCTTTCAGCCTTTGTGTTCTTTTAGTCGTTCATAAAATACACGATGAGTTATGGTTAACAATGATCATGTCGCTGTGAAGTCCTAAAATTTTAATTTTATGTAATTGTATTTCTGTCTTCTATCTAACCTCTGTCATTTCCTCCTCCTGCTGGAGAACAGTGCGAATGCTCCCCATGAAACTGGAAATAGTACTACATTTAATGAGGTGCCTGCTTTCTCAGACTTGCACTCCTGTGTGTGTTTGTGCACTATGCGCCATAACTATCAATGTGGCACCGAAGCCATGAAGCTGGAGGACATATGTTTAGTGAAGCAAGGCAGACAAAAATAGCACATACAGAGCTGCAGTGCAGATGAGAATGCAGAATAGCAACTACTAGAAGAATATTAACTTTAAAACAATGCCTTAAAACAGTGCTAATTAAGATGTACTTATTTATCCTAGAAAGGAAATTAATTTCTCTATGCTTTGAGTTTACATTTTAAGGAAAGTAAATTTATTTTTCTTCTTCTCTGTATGCTACCCTGAAAGAATCATTTATATGAAATCCTTTATTTCAATTCTTAGAAATAGCATGTATTGATTTTGACATGAATTACTCATGGTAAAATGTACTTCAGTGTGCAAATTAAAATTCTTGTGAATAGTATTTAAAAACATCAGCTATAATAAAATAATATTCCAAATATTAGGGTGCAAAAAGACCATGGAGGAAACAGCGGGTTGACATGTATCTTCCAGGAGATAAAATAGGATTGCATCTTCGAGGCGGTTACATCATCCCCACTCAGCAGCCTAACGTGACAACGACAGCAAGGTAAAATAGAAAATTATTGATTTCTATCTTAAATTTGTATTAATAGTTCATCCCTTTGTTAAGAATCAGAAATTAAAGTTTAACATTTTACCCAAAAACATACAATGACAATTTTTAACTATAAGAATCATGGTTATTAATTTGAATTATATATTTATTATCTCTTGATTTAAAAATGAATACTATTAAAATAATAAATAAAAATGAATATTATTAAATTAGAAATTTATCTACAGTGTCAAATTTTATTCATTTACTAGATTCCAAAACATTGGAAAAGATCTCTTAAGTTTTCAAAAAATGTGAAAACTAGTACTTGTTTTACAATTAAAGATAAATAAATTCTTTTTTAAATATATGAATTTTAAAAACATTATTCTCACATTTTTTTCTCTAAAAGTGTTTTGCACATTTTTTTAAAATTCTTTTATTTTATTTTACATACTGAATTTTCTTAGCGTATAAATTATCTCAGCATTACCCTGAAAACAGTATGACAGATTTTCAGTATACACATGCATTCACAAATGCCAGTGCATTATGTTTACACAGAACTACCAATAGGTGAGAATGAAAGGAGCTCATTTACTATGGAAAATTTATTTGTAATCACACATTATGCCTAATTTATTTTATAGTCGTGAGAATCCCATGGGACTTATAATTGCTTTAGATGAAAACAACTCAGCAAAAGGAGACTTCTTTTGGGATGATGGAGAAACTACAAGTAAGTCTCAAAATTATTGTTTTGAATTGTTCATTCTGGTGATGCTTTACTATATAAATTTCCTCAATGATATTGCCTAGCTTTCTGGGTATTTTATGAAATTTAACATTGTTATTTTACACATATATGTTTAATTTTTTGTCTTATTCTGTATTTTTATATGAAAATATTTGGTAACAACTTATATCCTTTATGATGTATTAATACTTGTGAATTAAAATAGTTATTTCCTGATTACATCATATTTTCAATTATGTAAACTGATTCCCTGACTTAAAAACAAAACCACATCATTGTAAACAGAAAGGAAAGTTAGCACAGAAAGCTTCTATTAATTAATATTAAAATACTTGAGGTAAAATATTTCAAACATATTTCCATTATTAAGAGTTTTTAGTTGTTCAGCACTAAACTGAGGAATTCATTACATCAAAAATACAAAACTAAAAATTGAGCCAATTTTGCTCATATGTGTCCAATTAAGCCTTATGAATTATGTGACTAAATTCAGTCAGTAATTTATAGTTTTCCCCATAAATTTAAATTCACCATCCTATTTCTTTAAAATATAGCCCCTACATAAGACTTTCATGTGTGTGTGTGCAAAGATTTATTTTTAGCTTGTATTTTTAACTCACTATTTCTTCAAAGAATTTCCTACATCCCTTTAAATGTGTATGAAACATTAAATATCAATAACATAACACCAAAGAAAAGAAGACTGTATATTTGTGTTCTTCCAATAAGTAGAAAATAGAATCTCTGAAAAAGTTTTGAATTTGTAGCTTTATTTATGAAAATACAGATTTCTTTCAATCTAAAAATAGGAATCAACAATTCTTTTACAAGACTTGTGATATTCATATATAAAGATAATTTTTTAAAATAACATAGTATTTTATCACCATATTTAAAACTTGAAATGATTGTGCAGAACTATCTACTCGAATTAAAAAAAAAATGCTTCTTACTTTGTGATACTGTAAAGGAGCTGAGGGCAGTGTTACAAATACTCCACCACGCTGTGACATGTCCAGCTCGCAGGCGCAGATACTGGAAGCCAGCTATGATTAGACAGCGGGCCTTCATCAGATATGAACTCTGTTCTCTTCCGCTCCTCATTTATCTTTCCTGTGAAGAATATAGTGTTTCATTTTTTTCTTTCTTTTTTGTTCCTCAACAAAATGGTCCTTTATTTATACTTCTGCAAAGTTAGTAACAAGTGACATGACATTGCAGAGTGACTAATAGCTGACCCTAACCAGACAGGATGTTTATCTCAGGACTGACGTAGCTTGCTTTAGGCACAGAGGCCTAGTCCTACCTACATGTCTTTGATCAATTTCTTAGCTTCCGTGACTCTCAACGTACCTCCCCTTTTTTTGTCAGAGATGGGTTGCAGTTACAGGTGCTCTATTTGGAGAAGTATGCAGAGGATAGTTAGAATAGATATACAGCTACTTTCTCTTATTTTATTGAGAAGAAAGGTTTGCACTAATATTTAGACAAGATAGCCTGTCTGCGTCTTGTCCTCTGAATAACTACAAAGAAGACAACACTATGCAGTGTATTAATTATTGTAACCATCCTACTAACCTGTCTTGAAAGTGTTTCATTGCTGTATTATCTTTTTCCTCATTAAAATGAATTAAAAAATAAATAAATTCAAAAAATATATAGCGTTTTGTTTCTTTAACCATTTCCCTGATACCCACACTTCTACCTGCAGAACAGGTCTCTATTGTTTCATCTCTTTATTTTTACAGCTAACAAAAAGGGAAAACATAACCTGCCAAATAAAACTCAGAACTTAGTATCACCTATTTATTGCACCTGTAGCCTTGCCTTTGTTTCTGTGAATTACACTTTTGTAAAAGCACACACACACACACACACACACACACACACACAAACACACACACACACACGTACATGCAATGCACACACAGCAACCTCTTCTATTCACTTCTCCTTCTTTCCTGCATGCTCACCCTTTGTTCTTCCTTAATCACTATGAGTGCTTAGCAGTGAGTCTCAATGAGAGTATGTTCCAAGCACTTCATGCACACAAGTTTAAGAAATGTAGCTTCAGTCACATGTAAATTATTTGTAGTCACCAATCCATGTTGGAATCAAGTATTGTTAGGAACTATGTACAGCATGAGTTTAAGGTTGCTTTTGTTTCTAAAATAATATAAATATACTATAACACAACCCTTCCTCTCCGTTGTAAATGTATATACGTATGTGTGATTTGCATAATTTTTTACATTACTAAAATATAATTTAATTTCTCATTACACATTCTCATTTAATATCTATATTACAATTAGTACTAAAACCATCTGAAAATACAGAACTCTTTGATGAACAAATTTGTAAAGGTAGATGCAAATAGTGAACCTTTAATTCAGGTTCTCATTCTCATATTTTTTCCAAGGAATAAAAGTGTAAATAAAGTAACGTTTATATAGGCTTGTATTTACATACTGTTTTTCTTCAAATTATTTATTCCTAATATTTAATTTTAAAGGCATATTTAAAAGATTTGTTACATATATGAAACAGAAAATATTTTTATCTATTTTCTTCATTAAACTTTATTTTCACTACAAATTAAATTTTTTATCCTTCCCTAACAAATCTTACATCTTGGTTTTTCTCAAATAATTAAAAGAGATAAAGAAAAAAATGAAATAAAATTGTAGCATGCCATTTTTTCCTAAGAAGAACTTACTATTATTTAATTTACTATGTAGAATATAAAGAATAAATATAATTCCAAGTAATAAACTTTAATTTTGTATATATATATATATATATATATATATGTATAAATATTATAAAGTTTTGCTTTCTCTGAACTTCCAGAAATATCCTAGTATTCTGAAAAATTGTATTATCCTGGGCAAGTAGGTACTGACTACTTATATTTAAAAATATCTTAAGATACTTTTTATAGACTGCATAAAATTATTACTATTTTTTACTGATAAACTATATCATTTGAAAAAATTATGGGATATAAAAAAGTCAGAGAATGTAATTACATGTTGATTTGATAATCTTATTTTCTCTATTTCAGATACTATAGAAAATGGAAATTATATATTATATACATTTTCCGTTTCTAATGTAAGTATTTTCTTTAAACATATAGTTAAATGTATATATTAATGGATATTAACAGAAGGTTATTCACTTATGTTGATTATTTTAGGAAGATGTTTACATTTACCTCTAGATTCCAATGAATTTTGATGAAAAATTTTGTTAAATTGCCTCATTTTTGTAATTTAATTTTCAAATTATGAAAAATTGTCATGTTAAAATTTTACATTTAAGGGTATTAGATAACTTTTATCATAAAATAGGTGCTCTGTTTTTTATTTTATTTTTTTTTTCTATTTAGGACAGAATCTATAGGTTCTCACTACTAGATGGGACTCATAGTGATTCTCCTGTTTACAGCTGCCCAAGTGCTGGGATTACAGGCATTGGCCACCATGCCCAGTCTCAATCACCATTTTAGCATGCCCTGGGGTGGGCGGTCCTAGCAGGCCTAGGGATATAACCCCTAATGCCTAAGCAGGTGCTTTAATCTGCTGAGTTATTTGGCTGGCCTAGATTTTTTATTTCTTAAAGTGCAACGTCTGATTTTAAACAAAGTGCTCTAAAAATAACTTCAAAATATTTCAATATGTTAGAGTGAGAATTGTGGATATTGATGAGAGGAAAAACTATGAAAATGTCTTAGCCATATTCTTGTTCCTGGGACACAATACCCGACACCTACAAATTAAAGGAAGAAAGGTGTGTTTTGGTTCACATTCGGTAATAGTTCCAGTCCACAGTTGGCTGGATCCAAAGCAGGTAGCACAAGGTGAGAGTTGGCAAGGGACAAACAGTCTATGTCATGACAGGCAGGAAGCATCCCTCTTGACCACGCCCACCCTAGGCTCCTCCTCCATCCGGCTGCCCTTGCCAGCGTCACTCCCAGCTATCCACCCATTAATGGATCGGTCCCCTGTCACATGCCCACGACCCAGTATCTCACACACCTGACCTGGGTACTTCCCAAAATCCCCGCCTCTAAGTGCTCGAGGATTTGCAGGAGATCCAGATATAAACCAGAACATGTTAAACTATAAATAACTAATAGAGGTGATCTTCACAAACACTGCATTCTTTATATATTCTTTCTTGCCAAAGCGAGATTATTTAACATCATCTCTAAGACTAAAGTTAAGGAGAATAATATGGGATTATATATTTTAATTATTCATAAATAATTTGGCTTATTTTTAAAAAAATCTATGTTATATATGTAAAAAGTATAATAAAAAAAATAATGATTTGTATGCAGAGACCTGGTGGGAAGGGAGAGGTAAATAAATGGATCTTTTTGTTTTTTATATTCTGTTGTTATTTTAGGTCATTATTTGACTTAATGTATAATGCTACATACTCTCTTTTTCACCAGAATACTTTAGATATCACATGCACCCATTCAGCATATCCGGAAGGAACTGCATTAGCATTTGAAACTATAAAAGTCCTTGGTTTGTCAGACACTGCTACTGAAGTCAGAGTAGGAGAAACTGGCCAGCAAATGAGTGTGCACCAAAGTTTCACTTATGATCCTTCCAACCAGGTATGTGTAATCCTTTAACATTTTATTGTTGTTTCTCACATTTAATATTAAATAACTATGAAGGCACTTGGCTTTCTAAGTTTCTTTCTTCCTCCTCACTTTTTGTCTCTTTCTTTTCTCCACCTCAGTTATTTTTTCTACATGAGTTCTTATCTCTATTTTTTTTTTGACACTGAAACATTGGAGACAATTAGAAAAAGGAATAATCAAAGAATGTTTTCTTCCTCTAACAGATGTAACTTTCATGTCAAAGAAAAGAATCATATTTTTTCATTCTGTTCCTTCCTTGAGGGAATAAACATTAATTTCACACCTTGTATGTTGTAGGCACTGTTTCAGGGATTTAAATTTCACAATTCATTAATTCTGTATAGGAACTACTTTTAATAAGAACACTGGCAGGCCTCTTTTTACAAAGTAGGAATCTGAAGTTAACACAAAATACACAGTTTCTTCAAAGACTCATGAGCAGTAGGCGGCAGAACTGAGGCATAAACTCATTGTTCCTTGCACAGATAGGAGTTTTTCACCTGACCTCTGCAATCTACCAAATCTGTCACATCTTGGAGGCCCTGGATAGCTCAGAGGCATGGCATGTTTTTGTCTTTTCTATCATGTTCTTCAAGTAGCATGTAAAAGCCATGACTGATTTCAAAGAACTGCTCCAGTTGCTACACTTTACAAAATGTTGGTTTTAAATTATTCATGGTCAAATAAAAGAAATGGTGTTTAACTTTTTCTTTCTTTCTTTCTTTCTTTCTTTCTTTCTTTCTTTCTTTCTTTCTCTTTCTTTCTTCTTTCTTTCTTTCTTTCTTTCTTTCTTTCTTTCTTTCTTTCTTCTCTCCTTCCTTCCTTCCTTCC